TTCCTTCCTTCCTTCCTTCCTTCCTTCCTTCCTTCCTTCCTTCCTTTATTACTTCTATAATGTTTCAAGCAGCCAGATTCCGACTTTATTCCTTGCTTATTTCCTTCCTCCTTTCCTTAAAGCCGGTGTGCACTAGTAATATTTGTCATAAATACACGGTGAACTTATTCAGTATAATCTCCTTTTTGTTCCTTTCAACCTTATTTCTTCTTCTTTTGGTGATTCCTTCCTTTTTCCTTAAGCCCTTCCTATTTTACGTTTTATAACACAACAGTAAATTCCTTCTTTCCTTTCTTTTTTTTTTACTAAACTGAACACTGACCCTAAAAAAGGAAAAACCCTTTACATATTAAATGTTTAGGAACTCTGCTTATCAGTCCTTTCAGGGAACAGATTGGAAAACAGAAATATCATCCAATAGACACCTTTTATCTTTTCAACCCCTTGCAGGAGATCAAGCAGCTGAAGTCGATGGTCAGGAATGAGACGGTGATCCTTAGCGGATCCGACATACCGCCCCTGAAGATGGACAATGACATCAAGGGAATTGAAGCCCAGTATACCAATTTGGCCAAATATGCTAAGGAAGAAGTGGAGAAATGGGACCCCAAAAAAGTGAGGACAATAAAAAAACAAATCAAGCATTTTCATCATTCTGCAAGTAAAAGTTATTGTTCTTATACATTTTCCAAACTTTAGATGGATGACTTGGCACAAAGGGCAGGAGAGAAGGAGCAGGAAGTGCGTGACATAAAGAGAGAGATCGCTGACATCTTACGTAAAATCCAGAGGGCTAAGGCCGACTTGGAAGCTTTGAAAAGAAAGGTAGGAACAATATTTTAATAACATGGCATGTCTACATCTGTTTACTCTCTGGCCATCCAGCTGATATCCTTTTTTCCCCTTCACTAGGAAGAGTCAGTGAGAAAGGAAATGATGGATGTTTTAAAAGAGGGTGATGACAACATAGACGAAGCCCAAAAAACCATCAAGCAGCAAGAAGAAGCCTTGAGGGAACATAAACAGCAGCTGGCTAAGCTGATCTGCCAATACCAGGAGCTGCTGAACCTCAAACTGGCCCTCGACATCGAAATCGCCGCCTATGGCAATTTGCTGAACGGCGAAGAAGAGAGGTATGTGATGGTGGAGGTTACACAGTGAGATCATGCCAATATGCACAAGATGAAACTGTTTCAACCATGTCTAACATCTTGCTTCTCTCTTTTCTTTTCTATCAAGAATGCAAAAACTTTCAGGTGAGAACCATTTGATCTTGCTAACTGTCACATGTATGTGGTGCTTTTATATTTGCAGTCTTATTTTTCCACAATAAGGCTACCGGTCGCCATTATAGATGTTTTATAAAGGGAGGCTTGACCCTTCCAAAGAAATAAAGAACAGCTTATTGAATTTCTGCTTTTTCAGGTATTTTTGTTATCTTGTTGTTGCAGGTTAATAGGTTAGCAACCATCCAGAATCTGAACAAATTCTAAATCAAGGTTTCGGAGCTGTCATATTGTATGTTTTGATCATAAACTGTCCGATAAGATGGGTTTACAAGTAAAGCAATCTTGTCATCAATAAAACAAAAAACAATCTTCAGAGAAGTTTTTCTGATTTTACTCATCATTTCCTGATTCCGAATGACTTGAAATCTTGATTTGCAAACCCTTTCTTTTAATCCTAACAAAACTTAACACTCTAACACATCTTTGCTCAAAATTCCAGCTGTTTTAAATAAGTACGGCCAACACTTTTATTTGTTTAGGATGCAAATGAGAGGAAAAAACTGTCTCAGTTAAACTAATAAATGCAGGTTAAGGTCAGTTAGCCCGTTTATTTTGTAGGTAAGCTTTTCAATAGGTTGCAACACTGATTTAAAAAACAAAGTGCTGCAATATATCAAGAAATGCATAAATGTGAATGCATTTTGAAACAAGAATGAAGCAAAATTAGCAATGATTTGTTTATTCATCTTAAACCTGATTGATATCTACCAATAAATTGTGAAATGCACAAATGAATAATCAAACATCACATCAAATACATAAAAAAATTACTAAAAAGAGGAATTAAATTGTTTAAGTAAATGTATCTATTAAGAAATTAAAAATTTACCTCACTTTACATGCATAAATACATACAAAGTGAAGAAATTCTATGTATTTTTAGGGGTTTCCAGTCTGTTGCACTTTTGTAATCGAGGAAGAGAAAAAAAGACAGAAAATACGGTGGTAGAATTTCAAGTTGATCAAAAATGTCACGATTTTATACTCTGACTTTATAGGTTGGTGGTTAGAGTTAAAAATTGTACTTTTAGTTTCGATTTAAGATATTTAAAACACACAAAAGAAAAGAGATAATCATTTAAAAACATATAGGAAGCTGAAACTAAACACTCCATATAAAGCAGGCTCTTTACACATAATTTTGGATCTCTAAAATATTATATTAACATTTATTGTAATAAATAATAAAAAAAAATCATTTTCTGTCAGACACAAGACACTAAGAGTTTTTCTTTATAATCCAGACATTTAACACATTTCAGCAATTCTTAAGCTTTACTAATGTTTTGTGTTTCACTAAAATCAAACCTCTCTTCCTGCTCAGATTAAAGATCAAACAACCAATCCAAGTCCTTGCTTGCACGCAGACGTTCAAAAGCCAGAGAGGAAACACCTCCAGAAGAAGCCAAACCTTCAAGAAAAGACCCCAGGTGGGGAATCCACCTTTGCTCCAATGCCCGACAGAATATTTGTCCCCATAGGCACGTGGGAAGCCCCCGCATCATACCCACCTGCCGCTCAATCCAAGAAGCGCCTGCTAATCCGGCTGGAGGTGGAATCTGGAAGAGTTGTCTCCGAAACCACTCAGTTTACCGATTGATTGTTCGTCACCTCCTCCAGCATTACAACACATCAGCAAAATGTGAATTATTTTTTTTTATTATGATTAATTTGATTACTTTATCCTCAACCTGATAAAATTAAGAAGTAATTATCTCTGTTGTGTCCTTCCTGGTAGAGTGAACGTCTTGGTGCAGCTTGATGGCAGGTTGCATGTTCTCCCTTAATCTGTTTTCCAATTGTTTTACATCAAGTTGTGTTTTTTGGAAAAGTTTTCTCAACTTTACTGGGATGTGTAATGCCTTTGGTGGGGCGGCGGCGTTTTGTTAAAATCTTCTATATAATTTCCTGCAGAAACGGATAGTTTTTGCAATGCTGCAAGGTTAAAATCTTCTGTTGGCTCATTCGCAAGTGTCTGTTTTCATCTTTTTGTTTGACTTAAAAACTTCTAAAGATATCCCAAGTTTTCAGATTTCTGAGATTTGTGCTGATAAATAAAGCTTTATTGATGCCAAATCTGTTTTATTTCATTATCTTTACACATAGACACACACACGCACAGTATACAGTCATTACTTAGAAAAGGAAACACCGGCAAATAGCAGTGTTAACATATAAGGTAGTCCTACGAAAGCAACTTAAGCCTGGCATGGCTGAAAAAAGCTTCCCCTAGGGTTGCCAACTCTAACATCCATCCTACCGACAGTATGAATTGATTTTATATCATGTGTATGAATTGATTTGTAAGCATTTAAATCAAACATAAATCTTTTTTTTTTATAATAAGGGACAGTTCCTTTTTTAAAGGCCTAAGCCAAATGCATTTTTTACCCTCATGCAGAAAATACAAAATTAGCCCTTTAAAAAGCACAGTATCAATGTTCTCATTATCTGTGTTTGATGCAATACATCTGTGTGTAATTTTAAATATTTTAAGTGGAAGAAAGATGGTGGTGACCTAATCTATTTTTTACCATAAATAGTATTGAATCAAATTTTGAATGCACTTCTGTTTATTTAGATAAGCTAAATTTATTTTTGCTCATTATGTTTTATCTTTAAAAAATAACTATTGTCCACATGGTTGTTGCTAAAATGTCAGTTGTGACTAAAGGAGGGTTCGTAGAAAGAAAAGTTAAAAGATTGAACCCTCTGGTGCATAGCGGTCACTGTAGTGGACAGCTACTAAAAAGTCAGTATCTCTTTAATTCAATGGTTTCTATGGTAAAACTGCATATTAGTGTCTACGTAGAATGCTCTCTGCAGCCCCACTCCATTGAGTTCAGTTAAGTGGTCAGTCATTGTAACTGCAAGTAAATTTGTTCTGTATCCAAGATGGCCAACTAATAGCAACCCCAGTCGACCACAACTGGCATATACTCTCCATCCTTCTATTGTAGAAGTACGACGGAGTATTAGGGCCAGGCTAGAGACTTTTTACATCACCCAATGTCAGTGAAGTTCACTCACTGGTTAGTTGTGTAGCGCAGCGAACTATAGGCCTAATTTAATGTGAATGGAGACAGTGGAGGGATTTTCATGGGCTCAACGAAAAAGATTTGTGGTCCTTTAGTAGGTCCTTTAGGAAGACAGCAGAAGTGAGCAGACATGTTTTTCTGACTATAACAATTATATGGTACCTCTGGTATCCTAACCATTTCTGCCTCGGTTTCACAGGTCTATGATGATAGGTTTTTTAAGACCTGAAAAAAAGAAACACACATACACACGCATATATGTTTTATCACTTTTTTCAATATATACATATATATATATATATATATATATATATATAGGTTTTATTCCATTTTAATATATATATATACCGCAACAACCCAGCGGTCAGCCTGATTTGACCAGAAAGATGCAAATGGCAACCAGTGTTTAGCTGCATGTGTGTTGTTCTATCCCTTTTCCTGCTTTTATTTTCTGTCTCGTTTTCATGGTTTTATATTGAATCAATTTTTAGTTTTTGCTTAGAATTATGTACCGTGATAGAAATAAAGTTTACATGCTTAGAATTTTGAGGAAAAAATCTGTGAAGGAATTATATCTTTATTTAACATAGGAAGGATAAAAGCAGACTGCATAATAGATATGCTAAAATTCCTGGCCAATTCCTGGTGACAATTTATAAAAGAAAGATGGTAAACTATTCAAACAAGATCCCCTGATACAGTAAATAATATCAGAAAAAACTATGTTGATGCCCATGATAGCGGCCTATACTGTGCAAAGAGTTACTTATACGTTTATATTTTTCATTAACAACAGTTTTCACAATTTAAAGTTCTTTATCAGATTTGAGCATTTCACAAAAGTAGCATTAGAAAGTAAAATAATATTAATATATATTAATTAATATCCAGGAAAGTTACTGAGGAGATACTGGCTAGGGCGTAAATCAAACTGTTTATTTTAAAGTCATATAACTACAGATATGTTTTGTACATGACTTCACTTGAATGCACCGTAGAGTTAAAGGTCATAGGTGCGACTTTTTCATTGCAGTGATCAATTTTGCCAAAAGATTTATGCAGAAAAAAAAGGGCAAAATAAGGGGGAATATTGGTCAAAATTTAGAGTTTAGGCACTGACTTAAAGCAACAACGCATAACCTTTGACTCAAGTATAAACTTAATTTCAGATATCTTTAGTGAGTTATTTTCTAAAATTTGCCTTTCTAACTGGATTTGGTCTGATCTATCACTTAATGAGTCATGTGACCGAGAGGGCAGCTTGATGGTTCTCTGTTGTAGGATTTATTCTAGAGGGGTGAATTTGGCCTTGAGTTTAAATGAACTCTATATCTTCTCAATCCGCTTGTTGAAAGTGGTTTGCTACTGAAGAAAAGGGATTGTGATTTCCTTCTTCACAGGTTAGTTAAACTTTTTGCATTGCCAAACCTGGTGAGCTGAAGTGGTCCACCTGCTGGTTGAGAGGAGTTAAACATGTATTTATCTGCTTTAAAACTGCCTTAGAAAGGCATAAAAACAGCTTAAAGATTGGATATCTCCTTGACAACTTGTTTGATATGCTACTGGAACTTTATTTTTCCTCATTTCATCTCTAGAGGTGCCAATTTATGTTCAGGTTGCTGTAATTCCAAAGAGTTAGAACTATAAGCCCTCCAAATTATCACCTAATCAGCCCTGTAAAGACTGGAGAGCGCTAAGATAAATGCATACTTCCTGTCATGTGTGCTGTTGTTACTGGGCCTAATCCCCTCTTGTTGTCCTCTAGATATATTTGTAGCTCGCCTTGCTTCCATCTTTCCTCCCCAGCCCGCATACCAGAATATAGATAAACACTGCTGATGGAAGTAGGAGTAAACATTGTCTGGGGGGGGGCGTGACAGATGGGGCAAATCAATGATTGTTTCAACTGAGGTTGTTCTAGAAAAACTTTGATATCATGTACATCTTTGAGCTGTATTTATACACAGGACAGCAGTGATAATTAATTCTGATTGTGTGCATATAGGTGTATGAGTACATATATATATATATATATATATATATATATATATATATATATATATATATATAGAGTGTTGACGAGTTTTTGGTGTATAACAGGTTTCATATAATTGTTTTCAGATCTCTAGAATGAATTACTAATAAAGGAAAATAAGAATTACTAAAATTAAAAATGCATAATTTATAATGAAATCAAAAACAGAGGATCATAGTGTCACTTTAAGGTAATTGGATCTAGGAATAGGTCTAATATGCTATATTAGACAAGGAAGAAATAATTTCAAATACAGGTCTGCAGAAATGAACAATAGGTTTGATTTTCCTTTTTATAAAAACAACTCAAAAACATTCAAAAAACATTTTTTCATAACCCTTATCCATCATGTACAGTGACTGTAGGGGGCGCTGTTTCTTTTGTACTACTGTTTAACTGACATTTATTGTATTTTTACTATCATTAAAAAATAATAGAACAAGAATACTAATATATATATAAAAAAATAAAAATTTGTGTACAAAATGATCTACTCGTACTCATTGTCTCCCGATTCATCCAGGACCCGGTCGTGGGGGCAGCAGTCTCAGCAGATACTCCCAGGTAAGAGTAGGAACATAAACCAACGGGTAAATTGACAGCTTTGCCTTTTCACACAGATCTCTATTCACCATGACAGACTGGTGCATTGTGTGGATCAAACCCCTGCTTCGCTTGTACAGAGACTGGATTGCCCCAAGTAAAGGGCCCCAAACTCCGTACTCCTGAAGCGCCCCCCACAAGGCACCACAAGGGACCCAGTTGAATGCCTTCTCCAGGTCCACAAAACACTCGTGGACTAGTTGGGCAATCTCCCATGAACCCTCTAGCAACCTTCAAATGCTGTAGAGCTGGTAACCTGTTCCATGGAGAGGATGAAAATCACACTGCTCCTTCTGAAGCCAAGGTTCAACCAATACCCGGACTCTCCTCTCCAGCACCCTGGAATAGGCCTTCCCAGGGAAGCTGAGAAGTCTGATTCCCCTATAGTTGGAATAAACCCTTCAGTGCCTCTTCTTGTGTAGGGGAACCACCCCATCAGTCTGCCAGGCCAAGGGAAAAGTCTTAGACCTCCATGTGATGTTGAAAGGTGGCGTCGATCATGACAACCCAACAAAATCCAAAGCTTTTAGGTGCTCAGGGCAAATTTCGTACATCCCCAAAGCCTTGCCCTTGTGGAGTTTTATAACCACCTCGGTGAATTCAGCCTGGGTGATTAACGAGCACCCTAGTTTGAGGAGTTCCTCAAACTATTTCTTCAACCATCCAATGATGTCCTCTTTCAGGGTCAGCAGCTCCACACTGCCACTAAAAACAATGTTTGCAAAGCACTGCTTTAACCTCCAGAGGTGCCGGACGGTTTGCAGGAAAGGCCTCTCAAAACTCCTCCCAGGCCTGAGCTTTTGTATTTACGAATGCCCGTGCTGCAGCACGCATGGCCTCATGGTACATGCTTGCTGCCTCAGGAGTCCCACAAGCCAACTAGGCCTGATAGGAATCCTTCTTCAGCTTGACAGCATCCCTCACTGCCGATGTTCAGCACCAGGTTCCGTAACCACAGACCTTACGGCCACAGCAACAGGCAGCCGCATTGGCAATGGAAGCATGTCTCAAACCTCCCCCGGAATCTGAGAGAGGCTCTCCCATAAGGGGGGAGTGAACACTTCCCTGCCTGGCTCCAATGTGGGTCCAAACTCCGCCATACCGGGCAACATCACATATCTCAACTTTACCATATTATGATAGTGTGAAGTATTGAAAACATAGCCAGTGATTTATGTTTTTTGCACTATAAATTATTAAAAAAATAACTAAATGTATTTATTTTTTAACCATAGAAAATAATATAATCCCCTCCCCCTTACATTTTGATTTCACGACTTGAGTAAAACTCACTTGAGTACAGAGGAAAAATAATCATAAACTAAACAAACATGGATATAATCTGAAGTCACCCATACAAATAAAATTCCCATTTTTCTGCCTTGGATG